TTTCGACGTTTATTTCCAATTTTTGAAAAAATTTCTGTGCATTCATAAACAAAGGGTTGCCCGCCCAGCACAGCTATGTTAAACCGCCCGATCTAGGCCTGTACACCTCCAGTTAATACTTACCGCTTGTTTGATGTATGTGCATCACTTCTTCGGTGTCTACCCGAGTGGTAGCTTTTTTTCTTTGTGGGTATCAGTACTGACATGTGGCGTTCACCGGTTATAAGCAAAGCGAAAAACGTGTCCCACCCATAGGATTTTACTTTCTCGCGTGGTTTTAATGATTTCTGGCATGCCGGGTCGGAACTTTAGGAGTCCTATATCAAGCTGATGTAACAAAAATGATATTTTTCATCTACCTGCACATCCATTTCTTCGGCAACGCGTGTCGCGACGCTCATTGCTGCTACTCGACGTGGTTGTGTACACGCAACCAATCGCCGCTGTCCTGGGAGTGCACGCAATTTGCAATATTCCAGACACCATTGTGGAATTTGAGTGGTTTTCCCAGATCCCGTTTCACCCACCAGCGTTAAACACTGAAAAATTATGATTAAGAATTCAGGGAAACTCGCAAGCAAGAAATTATGCTAATTTAGTAACAAAGCTTGTTAAAAACTCGATATTTCGATTCAGAGACTAAAAAACAGCGGAAAAAAAAAACGAAAAAAAAAAATTCCCCATTTCCAGTGTTTTCTTCCCAGATCCTTTTTAGAAGCAGTGAAAGAGCGGTGCCAGAAAAGCGAGGATAAGGGAAAACAAATTATACCTGATTTTTATCAAGCACTTCCAGGAATTTCTCCTTATATTCCCAGACCGGAAGCGTTGCTCGTTTCTTGTAAATTTCAAAATATCGTTGCGTATATGGTTGGCCATTGAACGGATTTAGTTGTACCTTAAAAATTTTGTGTTAAAAATTAAAAAAATCGCGATATTTGGCTCTCTTTCTCCATAAAATCGAAGCAACCAAAAACAGACTGACTGATAAAAGAATACCAACAGCAATCATTCACTAACATAGCTCCTGACGGCATCCTTTTCCAAGGATAATTTAGAAGATCGTTTTTTTCTCCTCCAAACCGACAATACCAGTACCAATTTACTATCGAAACGAATCAATGAATCGCAGAGGCACTAGTGAAATTAAACAACCGAATTTCAGCCTCCCAATAACGATAATGCTAGTACAGCGTCAGTGCAGCACTTAGCACACATGATGGGAAAATAACTGGACAACGTACGGGCTGCCCGTGCGAAGATGCGTTTTTTGCATAAGTTCCCGCAGTTTTTGTCGCTACCAGCACCGATTTTTCCGGCAAATGCTTCCAGCTAATAAGACTAGCTATCAGAAGTATCAGGAAACGCCCCCTTAAAATTTCAGCCTTCTAACTTCTCAGGTTCCCGAGCTAAATGTTTTTTCTGCATTGCATAGCTGCAAAAAACACATAAAAAACTGAACAAGAAAGTAAAATAAAATGAAATCGAACATACCACTGGACGACGTGGCTTTTCGACGGGTGAATGGCTACGTAGATGATCTCTTTCACGACTTCGACTACGGTTTTTTCGTGGTGAACGTGATCTCGAACGGCTAAAAGAACTGTTCGTTACTTCCAATATTCAAAACAAAGTAGAAAACCAAAACTCCCTTCGTATTCACTGTCTATGAGAGGCATAGGCGGATCCGGGGCGATCTCCTGGGC